ATCCTAGAGTATCTGATTGTTGTTTCCCTTTTAGGACACTTGCACAGTGTATTTTCATTGTATTTTACAAAGTGCTTTTTTCATTGCATTTCATTGTGAGTAACCAACTTCTTGATTCCTTTCTCACAAAAGTTAATGGATAAATAAAGTGGCTCCTAATCTTGATGGTTAGAGCTTTTCTCATTGTTGCAGTTTTGGAGAGCCCAGTAAACATTTCCCCTTCTTCCCATTCAAGCTAAGATACTTGAGAGGGACATTAATCAGCCGGAGATCCAAATGTCAGTTATTTCTTAGAAAAAGCTAGGTTGGAGGTTTTCTTAGATGTACAGTGAGCATTGGGTTTCCTGTAGTCTCTGTCTCCTAAATGTTGACTTTGGAACTCCCTGTGTGTAGATGATTGTGTCTGCACAGTGTGTCCCTTGGGTAATTGCCTCATTTCTTACTGTACCATTCATTCTTTCTACTGGACTCCTTGCCTTAATGCTATACTAAATAAAAAAGGGCTTATCTCACTTTAATTTTGTACAACCTTGTGAGGTCTGCTCTGAAGATTGACAGTGTGTTTGAGGCCCTGACCCTGGCTCCCCAGTGGCAAAGGATTGATTTGCATAGGACTCTGCAGTTAGCTTAGTAGCTAGGCTCTATAAGAAGAGTAGCTGCCTATCAGAGAATTGGTAATTATTAAGGATAGCTGGTGAAAGCAGTGAGCTGCGTATGCTATTACTTATATGTGTTTGTTTTAGATTTCCTAGCATCTTACCAGTTTTAATATATTAGGGTTTCATGACCTGCACTGTTCTTGAATACTTTTTCCTTTTGAACCTATGCTATGTTTCTCTGGATTCTTTGCGGTAGTAGTACATGATCCCTTGTAGCTTGTGATGTCTGACCTTTCCCATCCTTATATTGATATAGGGGGAAAAAAAATCATACTCTTGAAATTGTAATGCCTCGAATTGTTTTCTGGTCTTCTGACCTTCAGGACTGATTTGTTCCTTAAACAATGAGTGAGGGACACCCTCAAGGTCCTGTGACTACTGGTATTCCTGGTACAGTTACTGCTGCAGCTTCAGCAACTAGCTGATGGTTTGGCCAGTGGTCCTTCCTTAGTATGTCTCTGAACTTTGAGCTCTAGTTCCCTCTTCTCTTACTGGACTAACTGAAACCATGAAGATGCCTTTTCTATTGTTGTTTGTAGCATTTTAAGCCACAAAGTTGATTATTTTTTGGCTTTCAGGAGTAAAAGCTGGTGTCACTATTGAATGCATCATTTGTTCTTTATCCTCTCACAAGTGTGGTTGCAAACACAGCTAGTTATACCTCTTGAACTAAAAGTATAGCTCTTTATAGCTCTTTGATAGGAAGGAGGCAAAAAAAATTAGCTCCTTAATATTTCAGTTATTAGTCTTTACCCACATTCTTTAGCTACTGTTTTTTAAAGTGGCTGACTTGTTCTGCTTGATAGATGGAAAGTTTTTGTTGGCACACATACATGGTATGGATATATAGTCTTCTTACAGGCCCTTGTAATCAGAGAGCAGTGTGCCATTCTTTGGGCAATGCAGTCATCATTGACCTGCCCTGGGGCAGATGGATGGCATGACTAGATCTGTGCATTCATTTACCAGTCTTGTACCAAACTTGAAGTACTCTTCTGCTCATTCTGTGTACCTGTGAAGTCTAGGCACAAGTCTCTTCTATGATAGCTATAGTACCTGCATTGTTTAACCTAATGTGCCACATGTTTAAAAGTGCACCTTAATTCAGAGAGACCAAGCTTTCAGTCTGTGTTTTGAAACTGATGAAATAGTACTATTAAGGTTAGCACTAGAAAGAAATTACAAGATTAATGAGCTCCTCAGCACTTGGAAAGGCCAAGCATTTTTCTAGTTCCTGATTCTGAGTGGTTCCTCTGCGTTATAACTTGTGTTGGGTCGTGGATTCACTCCAGACTGAATTCAGAACTGGGTTGGCTTAGTTTATGGTTATAGTCACTTGGCGCTCTCCTCATCTACTGCTTTCTTTCTAAGGTACTTAATTCCCTATGGCATTGCTCCCTGATCAGTTATAAGCCACCCTCTCTTTAGGTTTTTCTCTCTCCCTCCCTCCCTTCCTCCCTCCCTCCCTCCCTCCCTCCATCCCTCCCTCCTGTGTAATTTTAATCCAGCCTTATTGCTTTCAAAATCCCCTTGGGACTGGAGAGATGGCTCAGCAGTTAAGAACACTTGCTGTTCTTCGAGAGGACCCAGGTTCGAATCCCAGCAGTCACACAGCAGCTAACTACTGTTTGTAACTCCAGTTCCAGGGGATTTGACACCCTCTTCTGGCCTCTGTGGGCTTTGCACAACATTCAGGCAAAACATTCAAACACAAAAAATAAAAATAATATTAAAAAAAAACAAAAACCGGTGTGGTGGCACATGTGAGTTCAAGGCCAGTCTGGTCTACATAGTGAGTTCCAGGACAGCTAGGGCTGTGGGGAGACCCTGTCTCAAAAAGACCAAAAAAAAAAAAAAAAATCCCCTTCCTCTTAATTCCTGGTTATGCATGTATAATGTAGGTTTTACTAGGAGGTCATCAAAATACTGAACTATTTGTTGCATGTTATGTTTTTGTTGGCTCATACATCTTGTCTATTCCTGGTGAGTCTCAGAAACTTGGGTACAGAATTTTTTTTTCCCACTCATCTACTTTCTCTTGTGAGTTTTACCCAGTTATTCACTAAATGTAAATCTCTGAAGTCTGTGTTGAAGACCTTGTTTTGCTGACAGCTCTTGGTGACTCATGTGATCAATTGATTCCTAAACTCTGTTGAGGTCAGACTTGGATTTTCAGCCTGGAGAGCTGTTCATACCTGTTCCTACAACAGGAAGTATGTTCAGTGGTTTACTCTGTGGGAGGTCCACCTAGGAACCCTGTCTGTGTTCAGGCCTGTCATGCCACATACTTCTAACTTTTAATTTATTGTGGAATAAATCGCCAGACTTCTTAAGGCTCTAATGGTTTCGGATTTTATTTAATTTCTATAAATTACTGGTTTAGTAAAGACTTTGGTAAATCTCTGGCCATCTTAGTTTCCTCAAACCTCAGTGCAGTCAGTATGCCTCCTAGGCTTTACATTAAAATTGGTCTCTTTAATTAAAAAAAGAAACTGACATTTTTACTTATTCTCTTGTGGTTCTCTTAATATAAATCCTCATTTACAAAAACTCTCAGAAGTGGTAGCCTTGGGATTGCACCAAGTCCTTGCATCAGTAGTTAAGTTTCATGAGCTCTGGTAGTGGTCAGCCATCTCACTAAATAAAGGCTTTGATCTGGCAAAGTACCAGGACTCCCTCCCCACCAAGGTTTAGTCTGGAACTCTGCTTCTTTAATGCTGGGATTGTGATATAAGGTACCATGCCTGGACTTTTTATTTTTTTAAGGTTTATTTTTAATGTGTATGAATATTTTTGCCTACATGTAAGTGCACCTGTGTATGCAGTACTTGTGGAGGCCTGAAGAGAGTCTCGGATCCCCTGAAACTGGAGTTACAGATGATTATTAGCCACCCTGTAGGTGCTGGGAACCAAACCCTGGACCTCTGCAAGAGCAGCCAGTGCTTTTAATTGCTGAGCCAGCTCTCCAGGCCCTGGACTAGCTTTTTAAAAGTACCAGATGGAGTCCAGACCCACCTGATCTTTGCCTTCCACTGGCCTACTCTTCACTTCTCTCAGAATTATTTTTGTATTTTCCTCTGAGCTGTGACCAGAATTTACTTTCTCCCTGCTGTCAGAGTTCTTGGCTTTATAATTTACATAGCTCCGGTTCTTGAAGAACCCTGGTGTGATACTTGGTTAGCATACATCCAGAATCTGAGGGTGCTAGCCAACTGTCCACCTCTAGCTTTACCCTCCTCTGGAGGTTGCCCTTAACTTCTCTTTGTCAGGACCGCTCTTTGACTCCTTACTTAAAACTTAAAGCATCCAGTCATCCTTTCAGTTCATTAGCCCATGGTTTTAAAATCATTTTTTTTTTTTTTTTTTTGGTCTTTTTTTGAGACAGGGTCTTTCTGTTGTCCCAGCTGGTCTGGTACTCGCTATGTAGACCAGGCTGTTGTGGCCTTGAACTTGGAGATTCACCTGCCTCTGCCTCCTGAGTGCTGGGATCAAAAGCTTGCGCCACCACTCCAGGTACTTTTAAAGTTTTTGTCAATGACTGAATCAACAGATAAGTGTGTATTCTAATTCTCTGTGAGATCAAGTTGGCTAGATGGATTTTCCTGAGCTCTTTAAGCTGTAATCTGAGCTGTTTCTTGGAGCTTACTACCTAAAAAAAAGCCTTAACACACAGTTTAGTAATAATAGGAATTATGCTGTATTCCAAGCCTCTGATCCCTAAAGTTTTTTTTTTTTTGAGACAAGGTCTCACATAGACAAGGCTGGCCTCAAACTCAACTTGTACCTTATAACTAAGAATGACCTTGAACTCTTGATGAACCATAGGTCTCCACATCCCTGGTGCTGGAATGCAGGCATGCACCACCACACTCTGCCTGACCTCTGAAGTTATTTGTTGTTTATCTGTATGTAAAAATGTGGTAAAAGGGGGCTGGAGAGATGGATCAGTGGTTAAGAGCATTGACTGTTCTTGCAGAGGACCTGGGTTCCATTCCAAGCACCCACATGGTGGCTAAGAACCGACCTTAACTCCAGTTCCAGGGGAATCCGAAGCCCACTTCTGACCTCTGTGGCATTGCACGACACGGGTGCACGCACATGCAGGCAATACACTCATACACATAAAATAAAAATAATAAAATATAATTTTTTAAAAAGTGGTAAAAGACAACACCCTATCCTAGATTAATGATATACTAATTGTACATTTTCAGTGTTTTATTATACAAAGATACAAATTTCAAAAGGTATCCCCCAATGGCTTTGGCTAAAAATACTTCTTTTGACTCTTAGGTCAAGGTAAATTAGCTATGTTTGTTTTCTTTGTTCTTTTTAAAATAGGGTTATACATCATTCTGGAATGACTGCATATCATCTGGATTACGTGGCTGTATGTTAATTGAATTAGCCTTGAGGGGAAGGTTACAGCTAGAGGCTTGTGGAATGAGACGGAAAAGTCTTTTAACCAGAAAGGTAAGAGGGTTTCCAATTAATACTCTTTTAAAAGAATTTGTCTTTGCATAAAACAGTAAATGTTTCTACTGATAGCTTGAAATATTAAAATAATTTAAGATTGTCTTTTGGATTGTATTTCCATATCCTTTTTGCATTTTTGTTTTCTGGTTCTTTGCATATACAGTGAATGATGCAATTGTGTTAGGATCACTGACCGCTGCATCTTAAGAAGATACCCAACTTTATTTGCTTTTTTGAAAAGCCATACTTTTGAAAGACTTTAATATAACTTAACATCATTTTGTGGAAATGATTCATAGGCCATTGATCTTTTAGCAGACCATGACTGCTTTTCAGACCTTTTCACTCTGAAGGTCTAGATAGACACTTCTGTGGTAGAATAGAGATGAGTGGGTTAGATTTTTTAACTTCAGCCTTCATCTCAAATGTTCAGGACTATTTGTCCTCTGTTCTTACACTTCTTGGGGCATGGCATTTTGAAACTTTTTTTCTTTAATATTGTTATATTTTCAAATCTAAAAGTTAGGTCAGAACCAAACATTGTTTAGTTTTTTGAGATAGTCTTCATTTTTTAACACAAGCTAGTCTGAAAGTTGGTATGTAGCTCACACTGACCTTGAACTAGAGATTCTCCTGCCTCTTGCTTTGCTGAGATTATAGCCATATGTCATTTTTTGACTAATAACCAGAGAATAGTCTTATTAAGAAGGAAAATCATTAATATATTTATGAAAGTTATATGCAAAAAGTAAACATGCCGGGCTGGAGTATGTATAGCTCAGTGGTAGCATGTAGCATTCATGAGAGGCCCTAGATTTGATTCTGGCCTTGAATTTAAATCTTCTGCCTCAATATCTTGACTGCTAGAATTGTCTGTACCATAGGAATGATCTCTCAAGTCTAATCACTTAAAGTTAAGGCAAATGAACTGGCATTGAGAGTTTTAAAAAAACTACAGCTTTGGATAACTATCATAAAGCAGAATATAATTTTTTATTTTGTTATTGTGCAGCCTTAGTGACTTACGGAGAAAAATAACCTGAAGAAGCTGTCATTGTAGTTACTGATAAAATATGTACATGGGTTAAAGTAAAAAGATTGTAAAAATCTTTTTGTGATAATAAGTCAGTTTTGTGTTATGAGCAATTGCCATGGATTGATTGATCTTTTGATAATTTAGTCATTGTATAATCAGTGTTTAAGTATACCATACATTGTGCTAAGCTCTGGAGTACAGTGGTGATGAGGAGAAGCTTGTTCCCAGACTATATGGGATTATTATTACTATTATTAATTCAGCCTACCAGTTTGAGTGACCTAAACTAGGTAGTTAACATTGTTGGAAAAAGTCTGTGTGATTTAATAAGTTAATTTAAAAGCAATTGCTGATTGGGGTTGGAGAGATGGCTCAGTGATTAAGAGCACTTACTGCTCTTGCAGCAGTACCTGAGTTTGGTTCTCACTACTCACATCAGGTGGCTTACAGTAGCCTGTAACTCTAGCTCCAGGGAATCTGTTGCTGCCTTCTGGTCTCCGTGGGCACTGCACTCACATGTACAATGATTTTATTAAGATAATACATATAGTTAGAAGACAAAAGTTTTCTAACAAAGTAACTATCTTTTACCTGTCTTTTTCTCATTCTTTAGTTCTGGGAGGCAACCACTTTGAGTCCATTCTAAGACTACCTTACAGTGACCACAGACTTAGTGGCTTTAAACTACAACAAAAAAGACTCCTTTCTCAGTTTTGGAGACCAGAGTTACAGAATGTAGCTGTGCTGAATTTTCTTAGTTGTGCTTTGTTTTCTTTGAAGGATCTGAGGGAGAATCTGTTGCTTACCTCTCACCATTTGGCTGTTCATTTATTTTTAGTTTTATTTTTGGTCTTTTGAGGCAGAGTGTCCCTGTAGCCCCAGCCGGCCTAGAACTCGATTATATACATCAGGCTGACCTGATCTATATAGTGACTCACAGAAATCCACCTGCCTCTGCTCCCCTGCCCCCCACGTGTGGAGGTTGGAGGACAGTCTGGGAGTCAGTTCTCTTCTACCATGTGGGCTCCAGGGGTTGAACTCAAGATTGTCAGGGTTGGCTGCAATGCCTTTACTCACTGAGCTATCTCTCTGCCCTTATCCCCCCAATCTTTCTGAGTGAGATAGATTATAAATTTTTGGCAGAACAGTGGTGATTGTTCATATTACAATTAAATTGATAATTGTTTTCAGTGGCTATATTCTGTCACATTTCTTTTTTCTGTATATCATAACTTTTTGTTTCTGGAGCCAATACTTCTTGATGTCTCTTTTCTAAATGTAGAGCTTTCATTCTTAAATGCTGCACAAGAGGCAATTTACCATTATTAATCATCAGCTGTCCAGAGATTTTAACTTTGGCATTCTGGGCTGGTTACCTCAGCCTCTATTGCACAGCTCCATTTTAGAACTTTGTTATATTTTCATTGGCTCTAGCCTTATCTTCTAGCCTCTCATATTTTCTTGCACCTTTTTGAGGACCCTCTGTGTGCCTGAAAATACATTAATTGTACCTTAAGTTGATCTAAAAGCTTGTCTGAGACTAGAATGCTAGATTCTTTCTCTTTTTAGAGACACGGTTCTTAATGCAGCCCAGGCTGCCCTGGTTTAATATATAGCCAAGGGTGTCCTTGAACTCTGGCTGCTCTGGTCTCTACTTCTCAAGTTCTGGGATTACAGGCCTGTACCACTGTACCTGGTTTATGTGGTGCTGGGGATTCAACTCAGGTCTTGTGCATGTTAGGTAAATACTCTTGCAACAGAGATACATCCTAGCCAATTTTCCTACAGAAAATTTTGGAATCATCTGGTATATGAAGTACTGTCTGATTCTGTTGTCTTTGTGATTTTCATTTCTTTTTAAATTTCCCTCCTTCCTTCTGCTTCCCCCTCCCTTCCCCCTCTCCCTCCCTTCCCTCTCCCCCCTCCCTTCCCCATCCCCTCCCTCTTCCTCACCCTCCCCTTCATGTCTTCATTCTTTGTATAAATATTTTTTTCTTAAGCATTTTGGATCTTTTATTATCCAGTGTTCTGAAATTATATTTCATAATTTGGGTAATTTTAATTTGTACTGTAGGGTTCTTTCAATCTAGAAATACATATATTTTTGGTTTTTGAAAATTTTCTTATATTTCTATCTTTAAAAATTTTATGTGTGCAAGTATTTGTCTGCATGTAAGTGCTCACATGCATACAATACCCACAGAGGCCAGAAGAGGGCATTGGATTGTCTGGAACTGGAGTATAGGCATTTGTTAGTTGTCATGTGGGTGCTGGGAACTGAACCCAGGTCTTCTGCAAGAGCAACTACTGCTCTTAACCATTGAGCTACCTCTCCAGCCCCAAATCTTAAAAAGATTTAAAAATACCTTTGTTTTGTGTGTATGGCCATAGCATACATGCACTCAGGGATTGAACCTAGGTTGACAGGCTTGGCTGCAGGTGCCTTTACTCCATGAACCATCTCCCCCAGCCCTATTTCTGATATCTTTTTGTTTGCCTTTTTATTTCTTTTAATTAATTTTGTTACTGAATTTTTGCAAGTTTTCATACACTATGGTTTGATGGTATTTAGATCTCCTTCCCTAGCTGCACCTCCCTTCACTGCCCCTGCTCAATTTAATGTATTTTCATATATATATATGAATATTATAGAGTCTGATTTTTGTCCCCAAATGTCTTTCAGTGTGGTTCCATCCACTGGACCCACCAAGAGTCCCATCCTTGTAAGATGCTCTCTTATCCCCCTCCCAGCAGCCATCAATTGCCAAAAGTCCCTTAGGTTGGGTTTCTAGAATGTTTTTAGTTGGATGTGCATTTCTTGGCTACTCTTTGACTTTCTCTAATCCATCTGGTAAGGTTATTTTGTTAAGATCACTTTCATGAATCCTTTCTGTACTTTTTGAAGGTTTCTTGTTTTATGACTCTAACTTCTGTTAATCTCTGAGGATGATTGTCCTTTTGAAACTCTAATATCATGTCTGTTTCTTCAGAGGTCTTATTTTCTCTTTTGGGCTCTTCTGTGCTGGAGGTAGCAAGAGCTTTTTAGAGTAGAACATATTTTATCCCCTTATTTACAGGATTCTCACTAAGTGAAACATGAGCAAAAATCCACTTTGCAGTAATGTTCGTAGGGGTTAATATAACATTTTACTCAGGAGCTATACATATTACTGAATTCTTAAAAAGAATTTAGAACTTGTTTGAATTTTTGATAATGAAGTCTTCTAAGACTTGTCTCTTGGAGAGCTCAGTGTGGAGAATGGTCCTGTAAGGGGCCAAACTACAATGGCTATGATGGTAACCTCCATGTGAGCCATCCACTATGGATAGAAGAAGGGCTCTTGAGGCTCTACCCCAGCTGAGGAGCTGTTGGCAATTGATGGCTGCTTGAGGAGGTAGGGTCATTTTCTTGAGTGTGTGGCTACTGGTAGGTTGCTGGCATTCTGTCTGATAGATGGCTCTATGTGCATTCAGGTAACAATAAAAATTTTAAAAAAAGACATGAAGTGGAAGGGATTGGAACAGGTGGGAGGGAGAATTTGGGTATGATCAAGGTACATTTTGTGTGTGTGTGTGTGTGTGTGTGTGTGTGTGTATGAAATTGTCAAAGAATAAATTTTTAAAAATCTTTGTGGTTGTATTTTGAGATAGGGTCTCCCTGTAGCCCCAGCTGGCCTGGAACTCACTATGTAGACTAGGCTGGCCTGGATCTCTGAGATCCACCTGCCCCTGCCTCCCAAGTGCTGCTATAGTCCAGCCATAAAAAGTATTCTTGCTGGGCATGGTGGCACACGCCTTTAGTCTCAGCACTCAGGAGGCAGAGGCAGGCAGATAAAAGTATTATTAACATTAAAAAAAGAAAAAGGTCCAAATTAGTATAAGGATACTCAAGGAGACTTAAATTATCCCAAGTGAAAGACAGCCACACTTAGTGAACTAGAAAATGGCAAAGGTAAAGAAAACATTGCATTTGAGACAGTTTTAGAGAACAGAACTTCATAAGAAAAACACTCCACCTGTGATCAGGTTATGACCCTGATGTAATGCCTCTCTCAAGGGGAGATACATGAGGTAGGTGATGAAGCCAAATTCCAGCAGCTGTAAAGAGTAGAGGGGCTGGAGAGGTGGCTTAGTGGTTTAGAGCACTGACTGCTCTTGTAGAGGACCTGGGTTCGATTCCCAGCACCTGCACAGCAGCTAACAACTGTCTGTAACTCCAGTCCTAGGGGATCTGACTCCCTCTACTGACCTCCGAGGGCATTTCATGGCATGGGTGCACTTACATACGTGCAGACAATAAACTTGTACACATAATATAATAAAAAATATTTTAAAGAGAGGAAAATAAGAAGTGGTTTCGTAGCTACAACATTACAGACATACGGGCTGGAGAAATAGCTCAGCGGTTAAGCGCACTGACTGCTCTTGCAGAGGACCCGGGTTCAATTCCCAGCACCCACATGGCAGCTACAAACTGCCCTTAACTCCAGTTCCAGGGGAATCCAACGCCCTCTTCTGACCTCCGAGGCATTGCACAGCATAGGTGCACTCATACATGCAGACAATACACTCAAACACATAAAATAAAAATACTAAATAAAAAATATTTTTTAAAAATTACATACTATTTTTTTTCTCCTGAAGTTCTTTTCTTCAGTAAAAACATAGTCTTAAAATAAGTACTGTCCAGTGGTATTTGATGATGTAGATGTTGTGTATCTGATCAGTGAGGAAATCATGTGGCTTTTGTAAATTGAACCATGCCATTAAAAATGCCAGATTTTTAAAGACATGGGGAGGGACTAGAAAGATGGCTCAGTGGTTAAGAGCACTTACAGCTCTTGTAGAAGACCCAGGTTTGGTCCCACATAATTAAATATAACTCCAGTTCCAGGGGCATCTGATGCCCTTTGGGCCTCTGTTAGGCACTTGCACTCACATTGTGTACATAAACTCAGGTAGGCAAACACACATACAAATTTAAAAAACAAAACAAGACAGTATGGGCAAAAATACTAAATATTTCAGTTTTCAAGTATTACAGGCTAATTATTGACTACACTGGGTTAAATCCGATATTTTTAAATTTCATCTTTTTAAAAAATATTTTATTATTTTATGTATATGAGTGTATTGCCTGCATGTATGTGAATGCACCCATGTTGTGCAGTGCTGCAGAGGTCAGAAGAGGGCTTCAGATTCCCCTGGAACTGGAGTTAAGGATGGTTCGTAGCTGCCATGTGGGTGCTGGGAATTGAACCTGGGTCCTGTGCAAGAGCAGTCAGTACTCTTAACCTCTGAGCCATCTCTCTAGCCCAAATTTCATCTTAAAAACATTTTTTTTTAAAGCTTTAGGACAATTTTATTAGCATTTAAATTCCTCACAGCAGGCAAGCTGGAAATCTCAACTACTTTGAGGAGGAGAATGGAGGGGAGAAGAAAAAAGCCATGAAGCCTTGCAGGTTTAGAGCCTGCATGATCAGACTGGCAGCCACATGACAGGGAGAAGGAGGCTTTAGAGAAAAAGGAAAGAAATACAGGATGCTAGGGCAGCCCAAAGGATTAGGGAAAGCATGCTTAGAAAGGGGACAGGAAGAAGAATAATTATGGATTTCTGAATTCTTAAGAAAAGCGGGTGGACTTTACAGAGAACATGTCTGTGGCTGGGTCCAGAAGCCTTGCCAATTTCATCTTTTTCTTATCCTCTTAAAATATAGTACTGAGAATAGATTTGTGGTTTGTATTATGGCTTGTATATTTCTCGTGGGTACTGCTGTCTCAACAATAAGATATATTTTTGACCTTTTGTGAAATTGAGCAAAAAATGGTGAAGGACACTTTCTTGAAGAAAAAGGAAGAGAACAGTCACATTTTTAAAGTAACTTTGTTCAATTTCACAACATTGAATAGCTAACATAAGGTACTATAGGAGGTTCAGTTCTGATGTTAGAGAATTTCAATGAGAAATTTGTTGCTTGGGTAGTGACATGAATGAAGCCTGTGGCTAAAGTAGTGGAGCATGCTCCTTTTCTGTCCTGCCACTGGTGTTTTCCACCTTTAAGGGTGACTTTTAATTCCAATAGGTTAGTTTTTTTTTTTTTTTTTTTTTTAAATGATAGCATCTAAATTGACCTTTTTTCCTATGCTTGCTTGCCCTGTCTTGATATTTAATTCCCACTCCTTTGGTGTTAGAGATTAATTTTATGTAATCAAACCTATTTGTATTTAAAGTTTTTGTTAGTAGTGGCAATTTTCAGAAACCTTTCTTGTCCCTAAAATTATATTTCCCCATTACCTCTTTTAGTGTGGCATAAGCTCAGAGGAGCTATGTCTTAATTTTTGCTCCAGTTTGTTAAACCATTTTCTTTAGTACCATTCCTATTGAGAAAATTCATTTTAAGTAATGTGAAATGTCTCTTTTGTCATATGTTGAATTCTTCCATGTAATTGAGTCTGTTTCTGAATCTAAGAATGTTTTTAAAAAAATTTCTGCATCGTATAGCCCAAAGTTCAGACCAAATGGAATGATAGTAAGTATAAAGTGTTGTAGCATGAAATGTTACATCATTGTATGTTCTTCATTTAATGAGTTGATGACAGGAACATGGCACCAGTGGGTCATTTCTGATCGCTTGTGTTTTAGGTGATCTGTAAATCGGATGCTCCAACAGGGGATGTTCTTCTTGACGAAGCTCTAAAGCATGTTAAGGAGACTCAGCCTCCAGAAACGGTCCAGAACTGGATTGAGTTACTTAGCGGTAAGCTGATGTGTTAAAAGTAAACATTGAGTTCTGTTTAAAGAAGTTTGTAAATTTAAAAATCCTTCTGAAAGAAACCTATTAAAAATGGCAAGAAGTTTGTTTAGTTATGTAGGGGAACTTAACAGTCACATGGTGTGGTATGGGTTATAATTTTAAAAACATATTTCACAATAGTGACTAGATACTAAGATGTGGTGTTCTCCCTTCCAACTCCCATCATTCTTTTTTAAAATTACAAGTACCTGAGCAATTACTGTGTTTAGGATGGGCTAAGACGTGAAGATGTTATCGTAAACCATCTCTTGATCTTATATCACGTGTACTGATGGTCTTGAGCTTATCTGGTGGTCAGTGTCTTAAGTCACCTTTGACAGTGTATTTATCAAAAATTACTGTGGCCACTCAGGGGTTGAGTTGACATTTAAGATAACCATATACTTTCTGTATTTAAGTAGCATTTAAAAAAATATATATTTTATTTATTATTTTTATTTCATGTGTATGTGTGTATTGCCTGCATGTAGGTAAGTGCACCTGTGTCGTGCAATGCCCGCGGAGAACAGAAGAGGCTTTCGGATCCCCTGGAACTGGAGTTATGGACAGGTGTTAGCTGCCATGTGGGTGCTGGGATTCGAATCTGGGTCTTCTGTAAGAAGAGTTAGTGTTCTTATCTGCTGAGCCATCTCTCCAGCCCCTTAAGTAACATTTTTATGAATAAATCCTATCAGTATGAGTGCTAACTGAACTTGGTTCTCAACTTGAGCTGCTATTGCACTCCTCTCCCCCAATGGAATCTTGAAGAAATAGGTTTATAAGCTTTCTCTCAAAGTATTTAAATACAGTTAGGGTTTCTTATAACAGTGTCCATTGAGCTAGTAATTTGGCTGAAATTCATGAGGCAAATAAAAATCAGAGTATGCTGTGATTTTTTTAGATATGCTATAAATGCCAGACTATTGCCTATAGCACTTTAGTTAGTTGCTCTTGACATATATTGGTAATGGACTGCCATGTCAGAGTAAGAGAAGGGGATCTAGAGTGATAGAAGGAGAAAACAAAGCACATTTCTTTTTCTTTTTCTTTGTTTGGGGTTTTTTGAGACCGGGGGCGGGGGGTGTCTCTCTGTAGCCGCGGCTGGCCTGGAACTCATGATGTAGACCAGGCTGGCTTCAGTCTCACAGAGATTCTGCCTCCTGCCTCTGCCTCCCAAGTTCTGTGATGAAAGGTGTGTGTGCACCATCACACCTGGCAAAGCACATTGCTTTTATCTTGGGGGGGGGCGTCTTTCAACTGGCCTGGATCTCAGATTCCCATGCCTTTGCCTCCCAAGTGCTGGCACCAAAGGTGTGTGCCACCATGCCCGGCAGCACATTGTTTTTAAAGTGTGTATATTAGTTTTCTGTTGCTGTGATAGAAACACCATGATCATGACCAAGGGAACTTATAAAAGGAAGAGTTTATTTGAGCTTACGGTTCCAAAGGGGCAAGAGTCCATCATGGCAGGGAGGCATGGCTGCACAGGTGGCTGGAGAAGGAGCAGAAGCTAAGCTTTCACATATTCAAGCAGGCACAGGAAGCAAAAGAACAACTGGAGATCTGGCAGGGCTTAAGAACTCTCTAAGCCTGCCCTAGTGAAGTACTTCCCCCAGCATGGGCACATTTTTTTTTTTTTTTTGTCTTTTTGAGACAGGGTCTCCCTGTAGCCCCAGCTGGCCTGGAACTCACTATGAAGACCAGGCTGGCCTTGAACTCTCAGAGATCTCCCTGCCCCTGCCTCTGTCTCCCGAGTGCTGGGATTAAAGGTGTGCGCCACCACACCTGGCCTTGGCCACATTTTTAAGACCTCCCGAAACAGCGCCACCAACTGGGGACAAAAATGTCCAAACTTGGAGCCTATGGGGGATATTCTCATTCAAACCACCACAGTTTTGAAATAGTGGTTAACAGTATAGTCAGTGATAGAGTGCTTGTTAGCATTGCAGGACCCTGGACTTGGATTTCCAGCTCTGTAAAAGGAAAAGAAAATTGTCTTTGGGAGGCAGAAGCAGGCGGATCTTTGAGTTCAAGGTCAGCCTGGTCTACAGAGTGGGTTCCAGGCCAGCTGGGGTTGCAGGGATATCCTTTCTCAAAAAAAAAAAAAAAATTGTCACCTGCTTCTTGCCTTGCAAAAGGACCAGTTTTGCCAGCTAAAATTTTTTAAAGTTGTGTATGTGCTCACACACATGCCATGTTGTGCTTTTGGAGGTCAGGGGCAACTTGTGGGAGTCAGTCCTTTCCTTCCATCATGTGGGTTCTAGGGATTGAATTCAGACTGTCAGATTTAGCACCAAACAGCTTTACCTGCTGGGGCCATCTTGCTGGTCCTGACATTTTTTATTGTGGCAAAATATATATAATACAGTATTACAGTATTTGCTGTTTTCTCAATTGAAAGAGGTTTTTTTTTTTTGTCTTTTTGAGACAAGGTCCCCCTGTAGCCCCCACTGGCCTGGAACTCACAGAGATCCGCCTGCCTCTGCCTCCTGAGTGCTGGGATTAAAGGCGTGTGCCACCACTCATGGCTTAATTGAAATAGTTTTTAAAATTAGTTATTTTTTTTTTGTGTGTATGTATGTGGGCATGTACACCATGGTACTTGTATGATGTGGTGGTCAGAGGACAACTTGTAGGAGTCAGTTCTCTTTGTGCTTGTGGGACCCAGGGATCAAACGGAGGCCATCATCAGGCTTCGTGGCAAGTTATCCACTGAGCCATCTTGCTGACTCCTAACTTAAAAATCACTTGTTTTTATCACTCCTTGCCTGCATGTATGTATATATCAGCACCATGCACTTGTAGTGCCCGTAGAGGTATCTGATGATTGTGAACTGCAACGTGGGTGCTTGGAAGACCTGAGTCTTCTGCAAGAGCAACAGGTATCTTAGCCATTGAGCCCTCTCTAGCCCTCTTTTATGAGTTTTTAAGTATATAGGTTTGTAGCTAGCTTCGCGATTAAAATTTTTTCTTTTAAATTTTTAGTTCACAAATCACCCTCAGTGGTTGAGTCCTTGAGGGCCTAGAATGTGTGAGGTCCTGGATTTGACTTCTAGCACTGCAGAAACAGCAGTAGCAAAAAAGATAGTATGTGGTGTACGGATTGAAAACCAGTTGTTATAGTAGTATTGACATAGGTGCTATAAACTTCAAGAGATACTTACAGATCGTAAGAACCTTAAAATACTTTGAAGAACACTTAAAGTTGTATCTAATAACTTAATAACAGCTAATAACTTAATAGTTTGGTTCTCTATAAGTTGGTAGCTCAGAAAAATCTGAGAATTTAGAAGTAGGAGGAAGTGGACCTTGGATTAGACCATTAAATGGTAAGAATTAGACACAAAGAAGGAAGTGTACCTTTCAGAAGGAATAGAAAGGGCCAGCAGAATGGCTCAGCAGGTAAAGGGCAGTTGCTTCCAAACCTGATGACTTGATTTGAGTGTTTGGGACCCAAGTGGTGGAAGAAGAGAACCTAATCCTGCAAAAGAATTAGAAAAATTATTAAAACTGGTGAACCTGTCCTTACATAGCCAGGTATATACTTAACTACTTGTTTGCTAAAACTATATGCTGTGCTGTATTGTTAAAGGAAATATAAATAAAAGAGAAAGATTAGCATGAGTCAATTTCATGGATGGCATTACTAAGGAATGTTCAAATAAAATAAATAAATAAAAATGTTCTGGGAAAAATGAGCTAGATGATGCTCATTTTGTTTATATTATGTATTGTTTAAACCATTCATATATTGTAAACATCTTTGGTATTTAAAAAGTCAACAATACATATATTCAAGGCAAAGACTTTAAGAATTTTTAGACTAGTCAGATGTGATGGCTCACTTGTCCTTGTGCTTGGGCAGCTAAGGCAGTAAGAGGGTGCCTAGGGTACAGAGTGAATTTTAGGCCAGCCTTGGCCACAGAGTGAGACCCTGCCTCAAAAATGAAAAAAAGAAAATTCAGGTACTTTTTAAAGAATAATCTTTTTGGCTTTCTGACATTTGAAATATATGTGATTGATAAATTTGGTCATAAGTATTACTAATTGTCAAATTTATGAAGGACTCTGCATATAGTTTTGTAGCATCATGCCAGAAAGACAGGAACATTTTGTATTGAAATTATTTAGGTATTACATTTTCCTCCTCACTGTGACAAATTACTTGCCAGAAGCATCTTACTGAGGAAGGGTTTATTTTGGCTCATGGTTTTAGTGGTGTGGGATGTCCATCTATGGTAGTGAGGAAGGCCTGATAAAAGGAGGGCGTGGAAGAGGCTCAGTCCATCTTGGTGGATCAGGAAGCTTAGGCTGGAACCAAAGTGTGGGTATCACTTTCAAGGTCTACCCTAGTGTGATGGTTAATCTTGGTTGTCAACTTGGCAAACCTGAAAGGGGAGCCTCAGTTGAGTAATTGCCTACATCACTTTGGCCTGTGGAGTGTTTTCTTGATTGCTAAGTGCTGTAGATGGCCCAGCCCACTGTGGGTGGAGCCACCCTATGCACATGTGCGTGGGTGGTATAAGAAAATGTACCTGAACAGGATCCTGAGAGCAGTTAGTTAAGCAGCATTCCTCCATTGTTTCTGCTTGAAGATCCTACCTTGAGCTCCTGCCTTGGCTTCCCTCATTGATGATGTACTGTAACCTAAACCTTGTTCACTGAAGTGATGATGTACTATGGACAAAAACTTTTGAAGGACTTTTCATAGCTTCTCACAATTTCCTTTACCAAAAAAGTGAATCATAAATTCTGTACATTTTTAATTTGCATGTATAGCTTACCAAGACTTTTTACATATTCAGTAAATAATTAGGAACTAATGAATAACAAAGTGAGTCATAGTAGTAACAATTTAGGAATTCAAGCACTATTTATTCATCAAATATTTATTTAAAAAAATCTTTAGAAGACTAGGTATTTAGTCTTCGAAGCAGCCAAATCTTTACTAGCTCGTATAAATGAAACCATTTTATTTTCACTAATCTACACGCCTACCATCCCAATGTATGCTGGTGTCTTAATTATGATGAACTCAGGGATTACTGTTCTTTAGACTTGGCATAATTAAATATTTCAGCATATCAAGATACTTTGGCCACTATTAGTTCTTTCTGTCCCCCCTCCCAAGAAAACATAAAAATTATTTCACATTTGGCATATTTCCCTTACTGTTGGAGCCATTCTACTCATGATATTTCTTATTTTTAATATCTGAGGAGATCTCTGAGTTTCCCACTTCATTTTTCATATCTGGGGAACTTTAGAAACAGCCCCCCCTTTTTTTTCCTGGAGTACACGTTTTACCCTCTTACAGAGAATTACTACAAAAGATGATGATTTATTTGGTTTCTCTTTATCACTTGCTCTGAGGCAGAAATAGTTTTCCATAGAAAATCTAGTTAGCCGGGCATGGTGGCACACACCTTTAAAAGGAGCTTGGTCTGCATAATGAGTTCCAGGACAGCTAGGCCTACAGGGAGATCCTGTCTCTAAAAGACCCCCCCCCCCCGGAAAAAAAAAAGTCTAGTCATAAATGTAACAACTTATTTGAAGGTGGGTCTATGTTTAGGCTCTTCTCATTTTTAGTAGAAACATTTTACTGTAAGTTACTATACTTTGAAGTTGGGAAATTGCTCATAGGAACTTTTAAGCATTACATGATCCATTGGTTTCAAGATATGATTTAAAGGCATGGTGAAGACAAATTGGGATTATAGTCATAAATTGTTAATCCCATTTATTTCCCTTGAGGGGAAAAAATCATTATATAAGCAGCATTAGAGGATTTTTAAAAAAGGCCTATAAAGAGAAGCTTAACTGTAGATCTTTTAGAATTACTGTATAAATTTGGTTTTAAACCATTGTTTGGGGGTAAATGTTCAGTTCTGTTGCAGTTTGTTTTTTTGTGAAAACATAAACGTATTAAGACCATACCTAATTAGTGTTGCTTAGGGGATAGTACACGTCCCTTTACAGATTATATGTTAATTTTAGAATTATTAAAGTGTAGTTTTTAAATTTTACAAAATTTAGCTTTATTCTTAGGTGAAGTGGCACACACCTTTAATCTCAGTGCTTGATAGACAAATCTGAGTTTGAGGCCAGCCTGGTCCCTATAGAGTTCCAGGCCATTGAGGTCTACATAAGGAGATCCTGTCTTTTTTTAAAAAAAAATAATTTTAAAAAGGTGTTTCTAGGGACTGAATGAGGTGACTCGGTGGGTAAAGGTGCTTGCTGCCAAGCCTGATGACCTGAACCTGAGTTTGATCCTTGGGATCCACATGGTAGGTGTGCCAGTTACTGTTTTGCTGTTGTGATAAACACCATGACCAAGGCTGCTTATTGAAGGAAGAATTTATTTGGCTTGTGGTTCCAGAAGGATGAGTCCTTCTTTGTGGACATAGGCATGGCAGCAGAAGCAGCTGGAGCAGGAAGCTGAGAAGTCTTACATCTTCAGTTACACACAGGAAACAGACACTGGAAATGGGGCAAGGTTATGTGAATTTTCAAAGCTTGTCGCCAGTGACCTCCTTCCTCCAGCAAAGGGATACCTCCCATCCTCCACAAACAGCAACACCAACTGGGGCCAAGTACTTGGGAGTCTTTGAGGGACATTCTCATTCAAAGGACCATAGTAGGAGAGAGCTGACTCCTGCACATTGTCCTGATCTCCACATGTGCTGGGCTGTGTATGTGAGAGAACACAAACACATGCATGCACACAATATAAACAAAAAATGTAATAAAAACCTTTAAAAAACACCTGTTCCAGATCACCTTCTCTCTCTCTCTCTCTCTCTCTCTCTCTCTCTCTCTCTCTCTCTCTCTCCTCTCCCTCCATTCTCTCTCTCTCTTTTTGAGTCAGGGTCCCCCTGTAGCCTCAGCTGGCCTGGAACTCACTATGTAGATCAGGCTGGCCTCCCATCTCACAGAGATCCGCCTGCCTCTGTCTCCCTATTGCTGAAATTAAAGGTATGTGCATCTTAGAGGAGTTTAAAGAACTACTGTTAATATTTGCATAAGTTAAAGGAAATGTGTACATAATGAAGAGTAAGTAAAGCTGGGTGTGGTTGGTGGTACAAGCCTTTAATCCCAGCACTTAGGAGGCAGAGGCAGGCGGAGGTCCAGGAGTTCAGGGCCAGCCTGGTCTATATAGTGAGCTCTAGGCCAGCTGAGGCCTGGAGAGCTGGTTCAGTGGTTAAGAGCACTGGCTGCTCTTGCAGAGGACCTAGCTTCAGTTCCCAGTACCACATGATGCCCTCTTCTGGTCTTCATGAACATTGCATGCACAGGTGCACTTACATACAGGCAAAATAAATAATTTTAAAATCCTTGTCTGCTATTTTTGTTCTTTCTGGTTCATGTCTGATTTAGTTGACTATTTCCATTTCCCCTTAGTTTTGGGTCACATTTTCTTTCATCTTTGCAAATCTAATATTTTTTTTGTTTTAGTTTTAAATTGAATGCTGGACAGTGAATATTAGTTTATGGGTTTTGTCTAAAAAGTGTTGGATTTTAGGGTGCTTGCCTAGCATGTAAGAAACTGCGTTCAACTCTGGTAACCCGATGCTTGCGCGCCCCCCCCCCCATTGAATTTTGCTTTGGTATATACAAAGTCACATAATTTCTCGATCAGCTTGCTTTAAAGCTTCATTTAGGGCAGGTCTAGGGAGTTTTCACTTAAGAGTACTTTAGCACTATTCCTAAAGCATGATCCTTCTGGGTTCCCTTTATGCCTTGGCTGTTTAATGGGGCCTTTCCAGTCAGGCTAGTTGGCATTCAAGTTTTTCCCACCTCTGACTGCTTTTTGGTATATTTATCTTTTGTGTGACTTTGCAGAGACTCTTTCCTCAACTGGTGGGGCTTAGTTTTTAGTCAGACATTAAGGGAACTATGCAGGTTTTTAGATCTCAAGTACTTTGCTTCACACATTCCAGCTGCTTTAGCTGTTTGATCGCTGACCTCAGACTTGGGCAGAGTAACTGCTTGTGCTCTGCTTGGAATTTTCCTACTACTGCCTAGGATGTGTCTCCAGGTAGTAAGCCTGGGGCAGTAACAAGGCTCATTAGGTTTTGCCCAAGAAGTGGTTTTGGATGCCTTATGACCTATATCTGAAAATAATTTTCATATGTTTTGTCCAAATCTCTAGTAACTGTGAGGAAGGATCACTGTCAAGGATATTCTTTACTGTTGTCATAAGTAAAATACTTTCTGTGGCCATTTGAACAGTAATATTGAAGTACATGCTAAGTTTAATAGCCCTATGTAATTACTGGCTTCAGTATGCAGCTTAAATATAGTTTGAAGTTTTCTGTTGATACTATAAACTTCAACCTTAGAGCTTTTATATTGACTAAAAGTGCTTGTGGTTGATTTTAAACACGTTTGGATATTTTAGGGCAGTTCTGTAGTATTTTGTTCCTAAACTACAAACTTAGTTATGAGGGACTGGAGCAGTTAAGAGCACTTACTATGCTTCCAGAGAACCCTTCCCAACACCCACATGGTAGCCAACACCTGTCTCTAGGATATTGAATGCATGTGGTATACTTACATACATGTAGGCAAAAACACTCATAAAAAACTTGTCACACATAATATATAAGGTAATGGAGGTTATTAATATTTTGATATATTTTCTCCTGAACTTCTGTAAAGGGAAAGAATCAGATTTTGTTTTTTGAATCAGGGTCTCCCTGTAGCCCCATCTTGTCTGGAACTTGCTATGTAGACCAAACTGGCCTTGATCTCACAGAGGTCTGCCTGCCTCTGCTTCCCAAGTGCTGGGATCAAAGGCGTGTGCCACCAATGCCTGGTGAAAATGTTTTAATGGAAAGAATTTGGTTTAACTAAATATTTATCTCAAAAGGAAATTTATAGATGGCAAACTTAAAATTATGAAATTTTTTGCTCTCTTCAGCATTAGCTTTGTCATCAGAGAAAAACATTGGTTACACAGGTTTTCTTGTCTTTATAGTCTGTGTATTTGTGGCAGTTTCAGAATAACATAGAGCCAAGAAGCTTCTTTTTCCTTTCATCTTATTTGTAGAGGATTGGTGTTTATAGATTTTGGGCTGCTTTTTTTTAAAAAAAGCAATGAGGTCTTGCCATGTGGTCCATGCTGCTTGCAGTCTGCAAACCTTCTGCCTCCCCAAGTGCTGGGATTAGAAAGTGCGCACCCCCACAGTCTGCTTCTTGACAGGTGGAGAAGCAAAACCACAGACTCTAATGTTGTTTCATTTCTCCAGTAGACTAAGGGTGACTGTGGTTTGAGGACTGCTTTAATTTTAGACTCTTGAATGGCTGCTGTGTCCGAGAATGTGTTGGGTGCTAAGAGCTCAGAGATCCAGGCTTGGGCTTCTTGATAGAGATGGAAGGAATACAGTCAGTTTATTGCTCACTCTAATAGTGCAAATTTTTTTGTTGTTGTTGCAAAATCAGCAAGTAATAGCTATCATTCCTAACTTCTGAAATCTTTTTGTTTAGGTGAGACATGGAATCCATTAAAATTGCATTATCAGTTAAGAAATGTACGGGAACGATTAGCTAAGAACCTGGTAGAAAAGGGTGTGCTGACAACAGAGAAACAGAACTTCCTACTATTTGACATGACGACACATCCTCTCACCAATAACAACATTAAGCAGCGCCTCATCAAGAAGGTACAAGAGGCTGTTCTTGACAAATGGGTAAATGACCCTCACCGCATGGACAAGCGCTTGCTGGCCCTCATTTACCTAGCCCATGCCTCGGATGTCCTGGAGAATGCTTTTGCACCCCTTCTGGACGAGCAGTATGATTTAGCCACCAAGAGAGTACGGCAGCTTCTCGACTTAGATCCAGAAGTGGAGTGTCTGAAGGCCAGTACCAATGAGGTTCTGTGGGCCGTGGTGGCTGCATTTACCAAGTAACTGTCAGAATGTTTCCTTCCTCTCATGTGAACCAGTAGTTTTTCTTCTATTGACTTCTGGTTTTCTGTAATTTGTACTTTCCCACACTAATAATTGGCTTTTGTTCTACAAAGTGGTGGGTGGCTATTTCTTTTTTATGTATGCAGGATTCTGCTGGCACGAGAGGCCTTCCTCTTTCTGTTTTTAACAACTCTTGCTGCCATATTGGCATTCCATCCCCGTTGCTATTTCTCACTGTTACCTGTTTTAGGTACTTTTAGAGTACCTCTAGTCACCTCACATGCACAGCTTTTGGATTACCTCAGTTTGAGTTTTCCTGTATGTGCATATCTGGCCTTCTGCCTACAATTCAGACAAGTCACAACAAGGCCTTCAACTCACCAAAGGTAAATATCTGTATCTATTAGGACATTTTATACATAGACCTCAGTTGAGATGTATACTTAGCAAAATTATTTTTAAATTGAAATAGCACAGTAAATACTTAATATAAAATGCCCCTTGGATTTTTGCTTCCCATGTAAATCTGTTGTATTATTACACTTGTTATAATTTTAACTATTAAATCATAAAGGTCCAGTAGTTTCAGAAAGCCAGTTGGAATGGGCTACATTCCAGTTATGTATATAGTTCGAATTATACATAAATTGCCCTTCTCAGGCCACCCCTGCCCCATCTTAGTATTTTGCAAAATCTAATTAGCTGTATACCTGGCACCCTCAACTAGGTCAGTCATTGTTACTTGATGCAGAGTAGACCCCTTCATCAGTGAGGGAGAAAAAATGTGGTTCATCCAGGATCTTTCTGACTGAGCCGGTCATAGTAGTCTTTGCCTATGCATCTAGTTTTGGGCTTTCATTTCTCTCTCTCTCTCTCTCTCTCTCTCTCTCTCTCTCTCTCTCTCTGTGTGTGTGTGTGTGTGTGTGTGTGTGTGTGTGTGTGTGTATTTCTATAGGAAAGAGGCTTGTGACCAGTACTAATCTTGAGTACAGTTTTTTTACTCTTTCAGTCCTTGAGTAAATTAATGTCTACTCTGAAATATTATTTATCTACTCATCTTTTCTTGGGCAAAAAAATCAAATATCAGTCCTGGCAGATGTTGCATGTAGAATGTAGCAAGTGATGACTACAACTCAGATGGTTAAGAGTCTGTCACAGAAAGCTCTGCTGTTTTCATTTTTAATTACAATTTTGATGATTAGCACATTGTAAGACTACAAATCTGCATTTTAATGTTATTTTTACTCTTTATCACTGTTTATTATACCATTGGTGTCATAATGTAAATACCATACCCTGAACAAAGTAAATGTCAAAAATTTTATTACCATAGTTCATATTAATAGTGGGGCTTTCAGGTGTCTAGAATTTTTTTGTTAACATTTTATGCAAAAATACTAGATGGCGTATAACTTTAGAGTTGAACTTTGAGGGATTCCCTTATATGTACACTATCTTTTTATCTGAAGTAACAAATAAACTATGATCTTGAAAGTGCCTGAATCAGAGCAAGCATGTCATTTGATTTTTGTGTTCTCTCTTCCTTTGTTTCAAGTGAAGTTTTACTTGGTATGGCATGGTGACATTTCAGGGTGTAGGGCTTGGCAAACTTCATCTGAAAGAGCCAGATATTTTAAGTGTGGTAAGATACATACCGTGTTGGTTGTGGAAACTCAGCTCTATTGAATGAAAGCTGTCGCTGACAGTATAAATAAAGACTTCAGTGAAACAGTAGAGAAACAGGTAGCTGGTTATTGGTCACAGTTTGCCATCCTCTGTGTTGATGTCTGGGGAAGTCAGTTTTTTTGTCCATTAAAAGAACCGTTTTTCCTCCAAATATGACAGTACTGTTGGTAATAAAGTTGATTTTTTTAAAAAATAAAAATGGCTACTGGAAACTGCTACTAGTATACTAAAATTTATTTTTAAAGATTTGTTTTTATTTATAAATATGTATGTTTCAGGGTAGAACTTGCTTTTGCCTATGTTGCTTCCATTCAGGATGTTTCTATGTCCAGAGGATAAACTTTGTCCATAAGACTGTTGCTTACAAGTGTCTTTAAAGACTTATTTTGGGGGCTAGAGAGATGGCTCAGCTGTTAAGAGCACTGACTGCTCTTGCAGAGGACCTGGGTTCATCAGCTCCCAGACCCCACACACAGTGGCTGACAGCCATCGGTAAGTCCAGTTCCAGGGGATCCAATGCCCTCTTCTGACCTACATGGGCATTGCATGTGCAAACATACATACATACATGCATGCAAACACATGCACACAAAAATAAAAATACTTATTTTGACTTTTAATTATGTGTGCATGTGTTGGTATGTACACATGAGTTCTAGTGCCTCCAGAGACCAGAAGAGGGCATCAGATCCCCTGGAGCTGGAGTTAAAGGTGATTGTGAGCCACCCAGGAGGGTGTTGAGAACTGAACTTGAGTCATTGAAAGCGTACGTAGTATGTGCTCTTAATCCCTGAACCATCCATCTTTCCAGTCCTTTACAGTCCTCTTTAAAGCAGAAATGAGGGATCTCTATGGAAATACGTTACTGTTTCCTTTTGGCTTCTTCATAGAGTGTTTGATGTGTTTTCTAAAAAATCCTAACTAGTGCAGTGTTCTAACAGATACTTAGAAAAATATGCTCTGTGCCTAATGAAATTATTTTGAACCAGAACAGCAGACATGCAAAAAGTTCTCAAGGTGGTATAAAGATGAGAAGATATCCTGATGTAATTATGTAAATTGTCTTGGGGATGCTTTGAAAAGTTGACTGTGTTTGTAGCAGAAGCACCAACATACGTTAAATGGCCAAGAATGTCACTGGTCTACTGAGGCAGGATTCACTAATAAGGCCTAAATGGTGGAATGAAACAGAACGTTTCATTGTTTGTAAACAGGTGGGTATAATAATACTAAATCCCTGAACTTGTTGATTACCCAAAAGAAAATGGGAAGGTTATCTTAACATAGGACCAATGAGTTGTGACACCCAGCCTGGTGGTCAGAGGATCCATGACAAGTCTTTCCCCAGAAGCATGGGATGAACTAGTCATAAGTTTCTGTGAGATCTTTATGAAGTTCATTTACATGCCATCTCTGTTCTCTTTATCTTGTATAAAATTAGAGCTGTTGTCGGATAATACTGCTCCCATTGGCTTTTATCCAGTTCAGTATGACCAACAAACTTGTTTCCAGCTTCACCATTGAGTATGCCTGTCTTCTGTAAGTTCTTCAGAAATGTCATGCATTGAGCAGCACTGGGAAAGTGGTTGTTAGCTTTGCATGCTGTTTGGCTCACAGTCTTGTCCCATTGTTGGAATTGTTTATGTACTTACTGTGCAGAAGAGGTGTTATATACTGTTGTGCAGTTTGCCTTTTTGCACGTATGTTATAGAACACCTTCTGGGAAACTGCATTATGCTTTTGAGCAGCTCTAGTGTATAACTTAGAGCTTCCATCAGTGGCACTCAGATTCTCTCATATGATCATTAGAATAGTCTTATGAATGCAAGTTTAACTTTCTCTAATTTTTGTAGGCGGAATTAATAGAAATGGTCTGGTTCAATGAATAAGCATTGAAAATATAACAGATCAAGTCAGATTGGTTTCTAAGACTCATAATTGACTTAGTCTTCACCAGTAACATGGATGTTGGCTTCTGTACTCTAACCAGTTGTGTAGAGGGCATCATCAGTCCTGACCTTTGCTAAGCTCATATGGGGGGATTGTCAAGTTTTAATTATCAAGGGGTTAGGTGTCATACTTGGTACCTTGCATTTTTTTCTGTTTATGTTCATTATCCTTTTTTTTTTTTTTTTGGAATGAGCTTTGGTGTTACTTATGGATTCACTAAAACAAAACCCTGTATCTGTGATAGAGTTGGTTTTCTCAGTCTTTGGAGCTGATACGGTGTTTCTTTTGATACCTTTAATATTCAGGAAAATACAGTTGCTTTCATTTTTTTGTAGTGTTATCCACCAGCTGTAAATTCTGAGGTCCTGTAAATTTCTAGTGCTGCTGTCACTTCTTTCCCTATGGGAAGCCCATCTAGGAAAAACTCCTGACCTCAATAAAGAGACTCTTTTTTACCTTTTCCTCAACTAGACTCTTATCTGCATTACCTTCCAGCGGAAAGGTAGTGTGAATTCTTGTAGTTTACAATGCCAATTGAAACAAACCAAAAAAAAAAAAAAAAAAAAAAAGTTGGTTCCCTGATAACCTCCAAAGAATTTATAGCTGAAGAAATGGCTCAGTGATTTAAGAGTGCTTGCTGCTCTGGCAGAGGACCAGAGTTCAGTTATTAGTACCCTCATGGGGCAGCTTACAACTACCACCTCCAGGATATCTGATGCCCTCTTCTGACCTGGACCGACAGGCATATGGGAACACACACAGGAACCCCACAAAAACTAAATCAGTGTAAACAAGCTAGCAGACTGTGTCTGTAATTGACAAGTAATTTTTACATTTGTGGGGTGTAATGTTTTGATCTGTGTGTTCATTGTAGGATTAGATGAACCTAAGGTAACCATCTCAGCAACTTCTCTGGTGAGAATGTTGAAAGTTTTAGTGATTTTTGAAATAAGCGTGTCCCCCCCCCCCGCCATGCTAGGGATTAAACCAGGCCCTTGTGTGTGCTAAACATGTGATCTACCACTGTGCTATACCCCCAGCCCCTGAACTATGTAATTACCATAAACTATGATAGTGCAATAGAATGAAAAAAGCTGAAACCTGAAACACATCTTTTCATTCATTGATTCTATTTTCCCATCCTTTCCTGCCCCCAACCCTCTGGTATTCTTTCTTTCTGTTCTATAAACAAGTTTTTTGAGGCCACATATAAGTGAAATCATAGCCATAGTTTTGTTTGTGCCTAATTTTTCTTAGTGTTTTTTTTT